ACCGGGGATTTAGCTCAGTGGTTCCACTGCCTGCCTCACAAGCACAAGGCCCCAAGTTCAATCCCTGGTACCAAAAAAAAAAAAAGAATCAATCAGTCTTATCCTGGGCATCATTTTGTTTTGTTTTGTTTTGTTTTTTGAGAACTCACTATGTAGGCCAGGCTAGCCTTGGACTCATGGTGGTCCTCTTACCTCAGTCTCCTGAATGCTGGGATTACAGACGTGTGCTATCATGCTGGCCAAAATATCTGTTCTTTTCAGGCCTTGGAGAAAGGTCATTATGCACATATCTCAACTCTGGAATTGCCTAAAACCCAGTCATCCTTTGATCTACCATTATGTTTTCTAGTGATTTTATTTAATGTTTTCTAGTTTTCTTGAAGCATTGTAGCCATTAATTGGACTGACCAGCACTTTTTGACATAGGGAGGAACCTGAACCTCCAGCCAGCAGTGGTAAGGATGGTGATGAGACCCATGAGTTCTGGTTAATTTATTTGTCTGCTGTGTTACAGAAGCAACATCCAGGGCAGTGTCATCTGCAACAACGCTGTGATTGAGAAGGGAGCAGACATTAAGGACTGTTTGGTTGGAAGTGGCCAGAGGATTGAAGCCAAAGGTAAATAAGTTGCAATCACGGATATCATTTTTTACTTATCTTATTAGCACAGATAATCCTTAATAGGGAAGATGGGAGAAACAAGCACATACATGCACTGCAGGTGAGAGCATAAATTCATGAAAGCCATCTTTGGAGAACAGTTGACATCACTATAATGTTTTTTCATTGGTTTTCTGAGACAAAAGGCTACCCTTGAACTGGCTATGTAGCCTGGACTGGCCTCAAAGTCATGATCCTCCTGCCTTATCTTCCCAACTGCTAGGATTATAGGCAGCACGCTTCTGGTTTCCCCTGTCATTTGTTCGCTGCCTTTCTTTGTTTCTTGTTTTGTTTTGTTGAGGGCAAGGGTATTTTATTTTTGTTTCTGTTTTTTGTTGTTGCTTTGTTTTGTTTTGGCTTGGTTTTGGTGTTGGGGTTTTTTGTTATTTTTTGATTTGTTTTGTTTTCTAGTACCAGGAATTGAACTCAGGACCTTGTACTTGCCAGGCAGGCATGGCACCACTGAGCTAAATACCCAGCCCTCAGGCTCAGGGTTAGAACCTGTTGCCTCACTCAGGCAAAGCATTCTACTCTACCACTGAGCTACATCTATAGCCCACTGCCTCCTTTCTACAATATACTGTTTTCCCTTGAAAGCTTTCTGTAGCTCTTTTTACCTTACAACCCATCATTGGCCAGCTTCCAGAGTATTCCCCTAAATTTTTTGAGCACTTTAGCTTCTGGTTCACAGTCTTCCTCTGCCATTCCTCATTTTTTCCCAGTATCTTAGATAATTTAATCATACTCATCAGTGAATTATCCAGTTATCAAACCCCCAGCTTTATCATTCCCTGAACTATACCCAACCCCCAATACAGGGGATTGAACCCAGAGCCTTTGCACTGAGCTACATCTACAATTCTTTTGTTTTGATTTGTTTTGTTTTGTTTTTTGTATTCTTTTAGTTCACAGTCTCACTAAATTCCCTAGACTGGCCTTGAACTTGCAGTCCTCTTGTCTTAGACTTCCAGAGTACTGGGATTATAGGTGTGCACCACTGGCCCAGTTTATGATTCCCTGAACTCTGTGTGTGTGTGTGTGTGTGTGTGTGTGTGTGTGTGTGTGTGTGTTACTGAGATTGAACCCCAGAGCCTTATGGATGCTCTCTATACCTGATCTACATCACCAACTCTTCTCTGAACTTCTTTACTAAACTTTACTTCCTTTCAACTTTAGCTCTACACTTACATGACCAGACCCTATCTTTGTCATTACACCAAACCACTGAAATCATTCATGTGTCAGTAACTGTTAAGATACTATGAATAACTACACTGTTCCTTTACTGCCTGCAAGGTTCTTGTGGTGAAATAGAGAACAATATGATGTAGAGTTAAAGGTATGTATTAGATACATACAGTGGTTTCATAAAGCAGAAAGTGAATAGTTCAAAAGGGAAGGTACCATATAGTAATTGTCTTAGTTACTTTTCTTGCTGCTGAGACAAAATACCCAGCACCCAAAGTTAAAGGAGGAAAGGTATATTGTAGCTCACAGTTTGTAGAGGTTTCAGCTCATAGTTGGCTGGCTCCAAGGCAAGGTAGCACAGTAGAGGGGCATCACAGAGGAGAAACAGTTCAGGGCATGCAGAAGTCACCAAAGCAGCAAAGAAGCAGCAAGCTATGGGAGCAGTCCTTTCTCTCCCTTGTATTCTATCCAAGCTACACATCCTTAGGGCAGGTAGCACTCACACTCTGGGTAGGACACTCTTAACCTACCATCACCCCATTAACCTCAACATCATATCCTTAATCCCATCATTACATACCCTAGATCCAGCCACCTCCAAAAAGCCCCACCTATGACCACATGAGGCTTTGAGGGGA